TAAGACTCTAGAGCTGTACTTCACAACTCATATATTGCGTATCGATTCAAATTAGAAAAATTCTTTCGAGCTATCTTTTCTCCAAAGTGCGACATGACAATTAAGTACAGACTTCTACAGCTGAAGCTGTGTGTCCGATAGGTGATGATGTCTTTTATGCCTTGGCGGAGCAACTGGCGGACTCTCCTGCATCAGGAGTCTTCTCGCCATCAGCCACTTTTTGGCTCTGCCGGCGTGATAGTAGTACGTGTAAAGCAACGCCATAACGGCCAGCACCACCAACAGGCACGTACCAGCGATGACAACGCTGAATAGCCAGTATGGCCCGGTGGATTTCGGCAATGGGCTTTCCGTCGGCAAACTGTCCGTGGACGCAGGGCTGGTGGTTGGCTGTTTCGGTAGTCTCGGTGGTAACGTCGCCTCATTGTCGCCGATAACGATATCGGCGCAGGCACGAAACTCTTCTTGAGGCCCGCATCCTACCGCTCCTAAACATCCATGTATATCATCTCAATGAATATCTATTTAACGCTCGAAGGAATTCTGCCTGGTATTCTCTTTTATTTATGCAGGTATATTATAAACAACAACTCTCTCTACGTTATTTTCGAATAATCAGTTGGGCTTTTTATAATCGTGTATTACGTACCGATTATCCGCGGGAGCGAACTAGACACGCGTTTTGCTTTATTAAACAAAGTCATCGAATGGTGTCGGTGTTATGCAAGAGAGGCTGCAATTCTTGAGTCATTCTTATTATGTAGGCCAAAGTAAATAGCACTTTCTATCGCTCCGATAGAATCTTAATGACGGATTGCTGACTGTTGCATGCACACGTATATATAGGGTGTAAATAAAACATACGAGTCAGAAAATAAGTTTCTCACAAATAAAAGTCTCGGAAGCGTTATCTTTTTGAATTATTCACGAATTTGTGGCAAAATAAATAATCCTATCATTTTCTTACATTATCTCGCGCGAAAGATTTATTCTGTCACATCGGTGTTCCGCAAAATATCCCAAATCTGGCTTTCATACGCGAATTTTTTCCAACCCAACTTTAAACGGAGATTCTCCGATTATAAATCTAACAGACGATCTACTTTTGTTTTTTTTTTCCAGAGTTTAATAACAAAGCCAATACGATATTCGAGGCTGCAATAATTCGTGATTCGATATCCACTGACTATATCTCACCGCATTTCCACGATCGAAATATCGGAGAATGGGTCATACCTGTGCCATTGCCACAATCGCCCCAATTATTCCCGGCGACGTATCGCCATTGGAAAACACATTGGGCGCAGGTCAAGCTTTCCGGTAATTTGTAATGGCCCTCGAAGACCCGATTGCCAGGCCCAGGGTAATAACGGCTGGATCCGTTCTCGGCGCGCAGCAGGTGCTGGTCCAGGCACTCTTGGGTGACCTCCCGGTCACGGTAGGTCATGGCGCAGGTGCGGAACTCGAAGTAGCCGTGATGGTTCGCCGTCAACTCCACGCGGACCGGTATGACGGATCCGGTCCGGTAACGTCGAACGATCACGCCGTTTCCATACTTGCCACCTGTCTCGTGAACGCGTGGCTGAAAAAGAGAATAGGGCGAACTAGAATATTTATATTGCCTCTCGTTCCTCTTTTTTTATATTATTCCCTTTTTACATTCATTTTCCTTTCTTACTAATATTAAAAAAATATTTCTCTTTCCGAGCACTGTTCGCGTGTGCATATATATTTGCATACGAGATATATTTGTGTGACGAGAAAGGGAATAAATGGACGCGGGTGTTGATAAACGAGAGAAAGAGGAAAACGGATTTCACTTCTGTTTCGGACTACTTTCGTCTTTCGCGATAGCAAATTTACGTATCAAGGCCAAGCGTCCCGCATAAAAAAATCCCATAACGAGAACGCGACCGGTCGATTATCAAAACGTGAGACCGGATCACGAAAGTTATGAGAGGCGCGATTAGATTTTTTTTTTTTTTTAATCTTAACAAGAGTTCTGCAGTCCACGGTATAATCGGTAATCGAGGTGAAAACAAAATTCTATATATATAATCATGTGTGTTGTAACGTGTTGATTATTTAATTCACAAAGTCCGGAACAGAGTTCTGTCATTCTAATAAAGCTTTATGTAATACTTTATGTAATAAAATTCGCGGTCGAGGCAAAATTCTACATTTTAATATCACCTGATACAAAGTACATTAACAAGGGTATCGGTATTACAACTGAAATCCTTTTGCCTTTTCCTTTTTTAAATGCTGATGATTTCGTGGCGTGCACGATCGCGTGATTCATTAAGGCAAACAACGTATCGATAATTGGTTCACGGTTATTATGAAGCCGCTCTATTATTTATTAGACAACGAAGAGAGTAATTACATCTTTCTCTCGTGTCACGAGTCATTGCACCTCGCTTAATACAGAATAATAAACCGCGCTTCGCGGCTAAGTGCATTTCGCTCACTTTCATTAGGGATAGAAAGGGAGAAACGAACAAACGAACAGTAGCGTCGAAAACGTTATTAGCGTGGACACCGGTAGCACTTTCTTCCAAACGTCCGATGAAAGAAACTTTTCCCAGTTGAGAATCGCGACAATTGGACACTTAACAATCGTCGAGTCGACCGAATAATTATTTCGCATTTAATCATGCTATTTGTTCCATCGATTTCACCATTCATTTTCGAGCTTGAGACGAGTTGTTTTCTCGCAAAAAAAAAAAAGATTCCTTTTACCACGTAGAGAATTTTGGACTGACTTTTTATTCAACAGCATTAAGATCGAAGATAGGAGAGTCGGTCGGCAAGCGGATCTTCCACGTTCGTACTGCATAATTTTCGGAAACGTGTCGACATTACAATGGTGGTTGTGAGGTATTCCACGGTCAACGGAGCGAAGAATCGCGCTTAATGGCGTGTGGTCAGTGTTGCAAGAGGGATGTCGAGAAGCTAATTGTACGCGTGGCGTAGCTGGATTACCATCTTCAACTCGCGAAGGACTGTCTTCGCGGACTTTCCATTGTCACTCGTCGATCTCTCAGATTCATGTTCGATTCGACGAGACCGAGACCGTAGACCTGTATTGTACGACAAACAGCTCATATCTTCAAACAATGGCAATGATTAGCTTAACTTGGAATACTATACGCTCTCGTATCAGATTAAAATTCATATTCAATTAATGTTCAAGGTGTCTCCCTAAAAAAACCCAAGAAGAACATGGAACATCTGGGATTTTTTGGGAATTCTTTTTTATCTCCGGAAATCAGAGAATCTCGTGGAATTCTGAAACTCACGTGGGATTTTTAAGATTTCGTCTTCAAATTTAAATTTCGCTTCTCTAAAAGGATTGGTAAGGTATGAAAGATATTTATTAAACATCTATCGATCCTGTCTATCGAGCAATGCGAAAGAATTCTATTGTCCTATTTTTTTTTTTATGTTCTATTTCAAGATTCTTCGATATACAGCATTCTGTTTCTTAAGTAGACTCACCGTTGGAGAATCCCAGGGATCGCCGCAGATGCCGCATTTCCCTTTGTTCCGTTGCCACTGTCTGGTGAACCCGCCGCAATAGCACTCGTGGTCATTGTAATCGTGAGGTGTGTCGAAGCCGTACCTCCACATGGAGGCCCTCGAAGGTGGCTCTATCAGTCTTCCGTGAGCAGAAACTTTTCGGATGACTAGCAGACTTATGATTAATGTCAGACTAAGCACGAGGAAACGCATGTCGGTCGCGAAACGAGCCGGCCTCTGTAAAAGATTGCGAATCGTCAAAGTGAGAACGGTCGCCGTTCTTTCAATGATGCCGTAATGATGCGATGCAATTGTTGATTTGAATGTGCACTTGTGGACGCGCATTTGAATTCCAAGTTTTTCTTCCGTCGCGCTGTAGATCGCTAATCCATTATTAATGATTCACGCTACGTTAACGCCGTTCGAAGCCAATTGCTAATTGTTTCGGCCGAAGGAAAGAGAATGCCTCCAAGAGAATGTAGTTTCCCTCGATGATTTACCTTATACCGTATACATCAATATGTTTTAAATTTATAACATTTGACAATTGTTATAATAGGATTTTTTTCCATTGTTTTATATATATATATTTTCTTTTGTCTTTACATTACATCGCGTTCCGATACATACGCACAGTCGATCAAATTAGTCTACTGTTATCGTTTCGAACAAAACAAAATTAATTTACTGTTTACCGTTTCCAGCATTGTTACGAGCAAAAGAGTGGCGATTACAACAACGTATTCGGATGAGTAAATATGGAGATGACCGAGCGGAAGTTTGATGACCTCTCCGCCGCATGGCACCGCCAAAAAGTGTTTCGCTCGAAAAGTAACGGACACGCGAGGGAATTACAGCGACAATGATTAGCAATGCGAAAGCCGACGCAACGTACGTTGGAAATCGCAAGAACGATCATCAATCAAGGACAAATGGAGTTTCCACGTTCATTCGGAATATACACGATGTGGTACATATCGCATGCTGGACGTAAGCGTGAACTCCCGGTACTTAATCGATATCGCGGTCTCAACGCGACCAAGGAGTCACGAAGGCGCATAAAGTCTGCGTTTAAATGCCGCATTCGAAAGCTGCGCGAAAGAGAGAGAGAGAGAGAGAGAGAGAGAGAGAGAGAGAGAGAGAGAGAGGCAATGACGAAGGAGCCACTGAACTGTTATTACACCGACACTCCACGCGTATAGTATCCCAGATACCGCGGAATAAATATTGCCTTCGTCAAGGTAAGAAACCTCGAAATATACAAATATATATTTGATCAAAGTGTAAAAGACGACGCAAATACGTGAAATTTAAGAAGAAAGATAAATTATGATCCCTCGCGATGACACGCGATATACACGCGTGAGAATTCTCGTCTTGGGTCTTAATTCCGGTTTTAATGATTCATATGTCGACTTCGTCCATTACGAAAATACTCGAGAGTATACTCCAAGGCAGGAACGTAAGTGTACACTTGAGAAATGTTGAATATTAAGAAAGTTGTGCGATAAACGGGATGGGCGGTCTCTCGTCGACGCGAGATATTTTTAGTCCAAATTCGAAATAACGAAGCCACTTTTAATTCCGGCTGTAATATTCATTTACCTAGTTACGAAGGTAAGCGGCATCAAACTTCACTTCACTTAAGTTTTAAACGTGTCTGCAAAACTGGAAACTAGTCACACGCAATCATGAAATTGCTTTCCTTGTCCTCATATAAGAATACTAGACATCATCGCGTGTAAACAATTCAGCATTGTGGAATAATGAAAGTATAAAATAATATGTATATAAAATAATATGTGTACATAAATTCACAGGAAAAAATTCTATAGCTCCATATATATATATTATATATCATCTTAATCCTTAGTAATTTAATGCTTTCACTAATACACTCACATTCTCGATTCAAAATTTACAAGTCTCCGAATAATAAAATATACAAAAATAAAAAACTCCTCGAAATGAGATAACCAGTGTACAGTTATAACGAGATATTAAAAAGCACGCTTCAATTTCGTGATTTAATAACATGCAAATGGCTTATTCCGCGGAGAATCCGATATGAGCAAAAAAACGTTATTCAGATTTTTAATTCGGCAGCGACTTTTCCAAAACTTATCAATAAACCACGTGATGCCCATTTCTCCCAATGTAGACCCACCTTGTAATCTCTCAATTTACCTTTTATTTTTTTTTTTAAATAAAAAATTAGAAAAAAAAGAAAAATAAATTAAACCGAGATTAAAGTTAATTTACTTTTTATTGATGGAAATGAGTGAGAGATGACTATTCTCGACTATTTTCGTGCTTACCTCTTCGTATGAAAGAAGCGAAGGCTCTGCTTTCCCGCGGTATTATTCTCGCATCGGCCACGACGAGTGAGTCAGACCCGTGACGGCGAACGGGGCCCGGACCTCGGAACCGGTCGCTAGACGACTGAACTCGGCTTCAACTCCGAGGGACCGAGCCAGCCGAGCGCTCCGGCCGATCCCGGCGATGTGGGAGTAGGTTATTAGAACGAGGCATTCCGTCCGCATTCACGTCGTGTTTCCGACACGAGGCGAGGATGATACGGACGGTCCTAGACTTGGCTTATCGCAGTCGAAACTCGCGAAACTCACGACCCACCGTTTCGGCATCGTGATTTTAGAAATATTACGAGTCCCTCTTCACATGACATTTATGTAAATGACTTTTTAAAATTATAAATTGATTGATTTATCCAATATCTAACATATCTTACTTTTCACTCTTCCGCTCTACTTCGGTCATTCATGTTTTCATTATGTGTTTATTTTTTTTTTTTTTTTTTTTTTTAGAAATCAAATATCGCAACTTTTATACATTCTAAACTTATTCTTATATATCGCAACAACTTACTAATTAAGAAATTGGTAATGCTACTTTTAAAATCTTTTAAACAACCAACGTGTAACTTCATTATTAAGAATTCTTAAGAGCACGCTAGCCGCGCGGATTGGAAAACTGCCTCTGGCATGTCTCGACACGCTCGATAGAACGTTTAAGTGAAAATCAGGTTCGATGATCGATAGCTTCCTTCCTCCACGAGGGGACTACACGCAACTGTAAGACAGTGCATAGAGTATATTTTTCTTTCTAAGAAAAAAAAAAAAAAAAAAAAAAGAACTTGAAAAATGATATATTCTTTTTAACAGGTCTGAGAAAATATATCTTGGAGAAAAGGATATCTTGCTCTTGGTGAATTACTGAAACATTGGCTTTTGAATGAATCTCTGTCGAGAGTGCGAGAGATGCGATACTTTCGTTGGTATTGCAATTCCTGGCCGGGATGTTACAGTAGGAGAAGATTGGATTTTTCGCACATGTACCGAATACAATTAGCATCCAGTTGACACGCATCTCACGCGTGTAGGTCGTTTCGGCGGATAGGAATAATGGACGAGAAGAGGCTTTTTCCACTTCTCAATGAGAAAGACCAGCACCTTTCACGGAGACCTCTCTTCCTGTCACGTCGCGGTAACGAAAGCGTTCGTCGCACACATACGCGCCCATATACCCGTGTTTCGAGCACGGTTGCACTTTCGCGGACGGATAATGTTTTCCGGAGCTTGCCCTGTGCAGTCGGCGAAGTCAGCAAAGCGGCAAGATCGTCAGGGTGAGAAGATATAAATCGGTACCAGGCGCGTCGCGACCACTCTCGCTCCTTCCCGCAGGGATTCTCTCTATCCGTTTCCGGATACGACGACCCGCTCGATACGCTCCTCGAACGTCCGCTTCCGGCTTTTGTAGCGCTCGGAAATTTTATCACTGTCGCACTACTTGGGCGGTCCATCCAATGTTACTAAATTCACTCTTGAAAAATTGAAAGATACATTATAAAGACATGTAATTTTCAAGTTATCTCTCTTGGAAGATTATATCGTGTAAAATAACATTGACTCTAAATCTATATTATAGATACCTAGAGCGAAATGAGTATTTAAAATGAAAAATTATAAGATCTCATCCTGCCGGGCAATGTCATCTATTATCTTATTGTTTATTTAATTTTCTTGTTAAAATTAAAAGTTATCGCTGTTCCTGTTTGAGGATAAAGTTCATATAAAATTTTTATGCTTATAAAAAAATTTGTTTTAATATATATTCTTTTTATATTTCTACTTCTTTCAAAAGATTGTAAGTTTTTCTACCATCGGTAGGATTAGCACGCTGTCAAGCGGCGCGAGATAAATATTGCAATCCGCATACCGTATCGTTACACGCAAATCGTCCCGCGTGGATACATCTGTATTACGACCGGAACAAGAATACTTTCCCACGAAAACCGGTGGAAATTGAGCGGAAAGTGCCGCCCGCTGTAACGGCCAGCCAAAGTGCAAATATCCTGGAAAGGAAGAGAATCGCGACGGAGGCCTCGTCTCATCGAGACTGCCCCGCTTCACTGTAGCGATTTCTACGAGTTTCTAATCGACGAGCAGATCCGCACGGTTTATCAATGACACGCTCTTCGAAATGTATATCCAACACGCGAAGATCAATGTCAATGAACTTTTCTTCCTCAGCGTTCAGTTAATTCCGAACTAGTCAAAACTTTGTAAACTCTTTGACGCAACATTTGATCTGCAACTTTTGACAGATAGATATATAATCCCGCAAACTGTAATTTCAACTTCCTTTCTCAACGAAGAAGAAAAAAAGTTGAAGATAATATCGTATAAGTTTTCATCTTAGATTTTATTGTAAGCTCGCAATTAAAATTAATTAGATTGATAAATTGATATTAAAAATTAGAAAATAGCGGCACATAAAGTGACGCTCTCCTTCGAGACATTTCCGCCAAGAAAAGGCAGACTAAATTAGCCGGAGGCTAATAATTAAAAATACATCCGGTAATTCCGTGACTTTGTACAGTGGACATCCTGGTTAATTATAATGACAATTCATCGGAGGAAGCTCATACTCCTGTGTAGCGATTAGATTTGGCCAAGTTCATGATGCGCAAGCATTAATATTCATCGACGATGTTAATGTTGCAGAAAGATACGCCTCGAATGCGTATTGAATGTACATTGCGAGCGTCATATCTATCGATTTTAACACTGGAGGAGAGGATTCTACCGTAGGCGAAGGTCTACAACCTTCGCTCCTATTTGAGAGGTCTTTCCTTGATCCGCGTGCGGAATAACCGGTCCTCTCTCAAGTCCACCTACGAGGTCAAGTCCAACTCGCAACATCTCCTCCCTGTACAT